GTTTCATCCCTGTTTAATTCTACAGAACCTGTCCAACATAAAATTCCAGTCGGTGAACATACAACCAGTCATTGCAGATGCATAAAACATATTCCATATATTCTACCCGACCTCTGATTGGGATGATATAAAGTAACTACAATGTGCCCTAGAAGTGAGCTCAAGGATGGGAAATGGATTTTTTTAAAAAAGGAAATTGTACACCAAACACAGAGGGGGAGATTGTCAAAAGCTTTTTGTCCTATGAGTGCAGAGGTGTTAACTGTCCATTTCATCTTGAATGGTCTCTTACAGCATAACTCCTTATGCTAAACAGTTTGTTCCACCTTGTATTTAGCTGTGAACTTCTCTGAGTACCTTTCCCAGACCTGAAGAAGAGCTCTGTGCAAGCCTGAAAGCTGGTCTCTTCCACCAACAGAAGTTGATATAATAAAAGATATTACTTCACTTACCCTCTCTCTAAAACCCCCAAAAACATTTAAGCACCCAACTCCCACTGAAAAAGTCAATGGGAGTTGGGGGTCTCAACCCTTATTTGTTGATTTGAAAATCCCCCAACAAAAGCATTATAATTACCATGAGAACAATATTACAGTCAAGGAAAAAGGAGGAGGATGTTGAAAATAAGTTGAGTAAAAATAATATAAGTGTAGATGGAAACCCTGAACACACTGAAAGGCCTAATCCAGGAACATTTTCAGAAAAGTGATTTGTTGAGTTTCTATTTTAAATAATCCTGTACCACGCTGAATGATCTCTGCAAGGAATTTTATTTCTTACAGACTCCTTGTGTTACTGTTCATTAGTGAGATGTGAAATTATATCTAGGTATTTATATGCCCCCAATAATTGTATTATCTTTACAGCTCCAAAGATGTTACATTACAAACAATACTTCGCGTGAAGCCATCCAGTAGCTCCAAGGACTTACATACCAAGACAAAGATGTACTGATCTGGATTTGCAAAGCAACACATAGGAATTGGAGAAGAACTTGGAAGGGCTTGATTATATTTCAATCACCAGAAAAGGAAATGTCCATCAAAGAAAGGAATGATGATAGTGGAACAATAGTTGGGATTGATGACCTGAGATTATGAAGGCGGCTGATTAAGTTGCACTCCCCCCATCCCCACCTTCATATTAGGTCAAATCCTGGCCCTCTAATGTGGAAGGAGTTTATTGGGGGCGGAGGGGAAGAGTCTATTAGCCTTTAAGATTCACATTACTTGTATCTGGCATGACACAACCAGCCTTGGAAGTGGTCAGGCCCAATTTAGAAAGGGACTTAGGACTCCATGCGCACATTGTGGCTAGGACCAATAGAGCTTCTCGGAGGTTGGAGACATCATTTCTATTGTGTCCCTGGCCACCCAAGTGCACACAGCATGGATTTGCTAAAGACTTTGAGCCCCACTGTAAGGTGTCTTATGGCAGAGATGAAGAGCCCTACCTCACAGATCATGATCCCCTTGCTCAGGCTCTGCAGAGGTTAATCAGATTTCCATGGAGGAGAGAGATCCAGGGGAAATCTTTTTGCTCATGGTCACAGTCTTTCCCAAGACGACAGCTCTACAGAACTATCAGCTAGGACTGTCTTCTCTAAGAGCTGTACTGACTCACTTTGGAGCCCTGGTCGACTTTATATCAAGGAGCTAGACAGGGCTAGAATATGGGCCATAGATATTAGTGTGACTAAACAGAAAGTTAAAAATAACATAAGATAACAAAAATGGAGAACATCGCCATTTGTTCATTCTTGGTAATGTTTTAGATTCTCATTTTCCCAGAAACATTTAAGGGCGGGAAAGGCTTTTGCATCATTGGAATAAATATCATAATTAAATTCTTTGCTTGTTGGGTCTTTACTGAATTGTTTTATTAGAATGTCATATTTAACTTTTATTTTTAAATCAAGGAATCTTCATCTATCTGTGTCATAAGACACATTCCAATGGGGCTCAAAGTCTTTAGCAGATCCGTGCCGTATGCAACTTCTCCTGGTGGTTTTACATTTATGCTCATTGACACTCAGTAAAAATTATAAACAAAACTCTGCTCTCACTTCCACCCATGCAATTCCCCTTGACTTCACTGGGTGTTCAGTGGACTTCAATAATTGTGTGCACATGTACAAGGGGAGAAATTGTCCCTGCATGTTGAATAATATTACATCACAAAATATAAATGAAGGCCAAGACATATTGAAAAAATAGTATAAACTTAAAAACTAAATATATAGAAAAATTACAAATTTGAGCTTAGTTTCTCCAGAATAATATAAAAAGCACATTTCAGATAAGGGGGGGAAAAACCCTAACATGTTCCTTATTTACCATAACATTAGTTTCCACTACCTAAGTCACGTACAAGTTAAAAACCTAATAGTGTAAATGAGGCAATGGATTTGGATGTCTCCGATAAAGAAGTGATATTGGTGTACTGCAGCCATTAAGCAAAGGTCAAGTTTCGGTCTGCAACTTGCAAAGTCATCTTCTGCATCCATACCTCTGATTTACAGAGCTATGGATCTTGTACAACTAAAGTTAAACCACAAGAATGGGGGGGGGGGGGATAAAATAATCAGCAAAACCTTACCTAGTAGATATATCTTAGACATTACGGCAACTGTGGTAGTTTAAGGATATAAATTACTTGAAGCAAACGGGAGGGGGGGGGGGAGAAGGGAGACAGACAATGATCCTCCTATAATTTTCAAATCAGATCTACCAACACATGATTTCTGCCAGGTGCATTAGCAACTAACCACTAAGCAAAACATTGCTCTGTGTATTTTCTCCAAGTTCCCTGACTATTTTACTTTTTGTTCATGATAATTTCTATGTACTGACTTAATATTTTGTCTCTTTATAAGCATATCTATTTGGAAGGAGAATACTCCTATTTTGAATGATCAAACTACCAGCAAGCCTCCTTTGCTTTTTATATTTTGCTGATGAATGCTCATTAGCTTGCAATTACGAGTGTATATACAGAAATTCTAAGGGATGGGATTCACACAGGGGGCTTGGTGTTTGTGTTTGGTTTTTCCACCAAGTTGGAACTTCTCTGATGATTTTCACACTTAAATAGCAGAACAGATTTTTGAATCATTTTTCTTCTTCCTGGTTGAAAACCCCTGGTTCCCTGTTGCATTATAATATGGAGTGACTTTGCATAAAGTGGGTTATTGCCAAATAAAGGAGGGAAGGGGTGTGTGTATGTGATGCTTGTAACTTAAATGGGTTACAACAGATCTACTGGGTTGCTTCTTGAACAAGATTATCTTAAAGTCAGTAAATCCTGGTACAAGAAAACAAGTTTAGAGAAAATATCCCACAGACATTTAAAAGAAAATCTAATAATTTGTTTAAAAGGTAATTGTTCATAACTATGGCCAAAAGAATTTTAAAGACTTATTTAAAAATAGGAAATTGAATTATTGTAAATGTAGAGGAGTTGATAGTTTGACTCTGAATAGCACAACAGATTAGTTTATTAGCATAGTGGAAACTGCTCCTCCCCAGTGTAACGAACCAACGGCATTGTCACTCAAATAGTTAACACGAGTGGTCTGCTGGGACTCTGATACCTCAGAAGTCACATCGCCTGCTATGCTCTGTCCTGGCACTGATCATCAGTCATGATGCTCATTAGTCCCTGAGTAGAACTCCTTCATGGAAGAGCCACAGCTCCGCACCTGGCTTTGCATCTGCTCCGGTGGAGCACGGATTTGATTACTTCCATGATTTGGGCACACAGCTGAGGGAGGAGGAATTTCTTTTCCCTGCCAATGAGGTTTGGATTAATGTGGCTGGTTGTCAATTGGTGCCAACATTAGTTTATGGAGTTGTTTTTTTAATTGTGATGTATTCCTATCTGATAGGTGAAATAGAATTAGGCAAGCAATACAATTTTTTCAGGAAATAGTTTTTTTTTTAAATGATTTAAACTCAATCTTTATCATATCCTGCTTAAGCAATGACATATTAAGAACTTTATCATCAAATAGTTATCTGATGTTGTAGATGACATGAAGGAAATATTTTTTAATTTGTTTGCATAGTATGAACCCGATCCTCCTCTCAGGACACTGGTGCAAATTGAGAGTAACTTCATTGAGGTCAATGGAATTATGCCAGTGTAAAAAACAAATGCAAGTAAGGGAGAATCAGGCTTCATATACCTTTGTTTTAATGGGGAGGTAGCAGATCATCTGCAATGACAAAGAGAACAAAAAATATACATATATAACTGACTGTTCCCAACTCCAGAGACAGGGTCAAAAAAACGATGTGATGGATGGAATTCAAAAATCCTGATCCTACCCCGTCCAAACATTCTTATACATTAATACTTCCTTCTGACTGAAAATGCATTTCACTTGGTGATAGTGCCAACACATTTTATATAGATTATTTTGACATTTTCTCAAACAACAACTTCTCCTTATCAGTAACTGAAAAATGCCAGGTTGGATGGGCTGAAGAGAAGATGAATGCAAATACATGACAAGGATGGGAGCCTATAGGCAGACAAAGCAAGGGCAATTACTATCCTGGATAAGAGAACTGTGAGACACTTGTGCAGAACATGAAAAAAAAATAATTGAACACCAAGAATTGCAATAGACTGAGTTGTGGGTGGGGTTAGGAAGAGTAAAGCAGGCAGCTACTATAGATTTTGGTGCTGTTTGTGCTAATTTAGGTGAATCTGTAATTATTTCAAACAAGCTTATAATGTCCTGATTCGGGTTTCCTTCTCACGTATTATGCTGGCAAAATAAACCTCAGCAACATGCCAAATATATTTTGCAATATACAGTGCATTACAAAAAAAGCTGCTAAGTGATATTGAAGTAATACCATTGCAAACACCACCACCTATAGAGGAAGATTACCTTTAACTGCTGATTACATCAGCAAGTGCAGCCATCCCCCACCTCTATAACAAGCACATAAGAGTATTTGTCACATATAAAGAACTTAATAAAAATTTACCTCAAATCTACTTAAACTTGAGCTCTTCGACCGAGACTTCTTGCGGAGATATACTGAAAAGAACCTACGCACTGTGAACTTCTTCATATTCATTTCCATTGCCCCGTTTGAAGTACAGTGCAGAGCAGAGAGGAGCTGCAGTGACGAAGAAGGCTAGTGCATCCCAATTGCGCCCTATATTAAATCCACGGAAGAGAGATTCTCAGAAGTATCTGTTGCCGATTCATCAAGTCCTGTACAGCTAGATGCACAGAAGGTATATTACAAGAGCCATCAAATTTTGCAGCATGCTGCTTGCTGCTCAGGGCTAAGTGCTTTTCACTCTGTCTTTCTTTCCACTGTTTACATTTCAGTGCTGCAAGCTGAACTCTCTTTCCACTCCCTCACTCCCTCGCCTTAGGTCCTACTACATCCAATCAGACTCAGCTTTTCCTGCATACATAATAAGCACCAGAAAATGACAGCTCCCAACTCCCAGGCAGAGCAGGTTTGCAATAAATATTAGATGTGTCTATTGCTTGCACTCCTGTTCTCTCAGTCAGTCTTTTTCAATCTCTTGGCTTGAGAACTGTATGAGGAAATAAGCACATGCTGCATTTCTGTTTTTAGCTTGGAATTTCAGCAGAGCTATAATTACCATATACAATATGGGCCAGATTTGAGAAGAAACAAGCTATTGTAAAAGATTCTCCTAAGAGAAGATTGAAAGACACCGTGAGTTCATTGCTAAAGTAGCAGCATCTGAACCTCATTTTATTCTCTGGACTACATTTTTTACCTTTATCCGTCTGAAGTTAAAACACAGGGCAGATATTACAGATTACCTAAAGGCTTTACATTTAAATAATAGTTTGTACAACACTTTGAAAATATAAAGCACTATATAAATATTAAGTATTGTGATTATTATTATATTGTGAGGGGAGGCTACAATCCTTCTCTCCAGGGAGTTAAAAATGTATACATACATTCAGAATAGGAACCTTGCTGTTCGTACAGTAATTCTAAGTTACTCATTATACTGGAAGCATGCAGACCTATAGCTTTCCCTCTCTACCTTTTTGATTTCCTTTAGAAAACTACTGAATCTCAATGTGATTCTGAGACCCAAAGTGTTTCTGTTCCAGCCACATTCAGCTTGGGCTACTTGGCCTTAGTTATCTTTCCTTTCCAACTGCTAAAGGCCATCAAGACATACCTTTCCTCCCATGTCCTTATATGGAAAGCAGGGCCGGCTCCAGGCACCAGCCGAGCAAGCTAGTGCTTGGGGCGGCAGCTTGTAGAAGGCGGCATTCCGCACAATCCTAGGGCGGCGGCGTTGCCGCTGCTGCTGCTTCTTCTTCTTCTTGGGTCTCTGCAGGCACCTTCAGGGGCTGTGTCATGATTGTCACAGCCTGTTCTATTGATCTGTTAGGTTTGGTTGGTTGTTTTTTTACCCTTCCCACTATCTATAACTGCAAAAGCAACCTTGACTATTTTCCTAAGATGTCATGGAGTTTATCATCTCAACTTACACAGGTCTTATCTGTTTTTCGTCTGGACTTTTGTAATCATATCTTCCTGCACCTCACCCCAACTCTTATCAATTATGTAGTTGTGAAAAGCATCTACCTTGTCAGCTGCTCTGACTGTGTTCTCCTCCTCCTCCCCCTCCCGATCCTTTCATTGGCTTCTTCTCTTCATCAAATGTGAACTCTGCATCCTTCCTTTCAAGGTAGATGAACTTAGGTTTCCACCTAACTTTTTGATCTTGTTTTTTCTTTCCCTCACCATGTTGCTCCATACCTGCTGCAAGCTTAATAATGCCTTTTATAACCTTCTCTTATCTTGTTTCCACCCAGCCCCCTGTGCCTGGAAGAAGGCATGTCCTAGACCAGTGTTTCTCTATCTTTCCAAATTACTTTATTCCTTTCAGGAGTCCGATTTGTCTTACGTACCCCAAGTTTCACCTCACTTAAAAACTATTTGCTTACAGAATCAGACATTAAAAATACAAAAGTGTCACACACACTATTGCTGAAAAACTGATTACTTTCTCGTTTTGTCTGTATGAAATTTTAGTTTGTGCTGACTTCGCCAGTGCTTTTTATGTAGTCTGTTGTAAAATTAGGCAAATATCTAGATAAGTTGATGTACCCCTTGGAAGACCTCTGCGTACCCCCTGGGGTACGTGTACCCCTGGTTGAGAACCATTGTTCTTGACTATTCAAGGAGTACATTATTTCATCACATGAATAAGGATAGCAAAATCTAGATCTAATATTGTAATTTTTGGGGGGTGATGAACAAAAGTATTTTTTGAACTGTATTAACCATTGTGGTTTTGAATGATAGCTTGGTTGATGGTATAATAGATGGGATTGTTGAGTTTTCTTAAATCTTTTCCATCATATATATATATGGAAAGCCCATCTATTATGCCATCATTCGAAACCACAGTGGGTTTATAAAGTTCAAAAAATATATTTGTTGTTCACCAAAATAATAAATATTTCAATATTCGATCTAGATTCTGTTACCTTTACTCATGTGGATGTCATTAGCCCTTCCCAACTCTTATGGCACAAGGAACTGCACCATCAATAAAAAAAAAAAAGATTTAAAACATGGAGAGCCCCAGAGTTAAACACAGTTGACTGCTTTTGTCACTGCCTTCATGTTGCAATGGGATTCTTACAATCTAATATACTGCAATTTGCAATCATCATGAAAGGCCATTAAACAAGTCTGGTCTGCAATAAACTCCAAAGAAAAGTTATCCAAAACTGTCGTGTACTTGTGAAGTACTCTGGAACAGGTGGTCAGCAAGTGGGTGCAGAGGAGCAGGGAGGGTCAGAGCCATGGCATCACTCCCCCACATTGATATACACGGGTCATCGAGTTTAAGGCCAGAAGGAACCACCAGATCTAGTCTGGCCTTCTGCATAGCACAGGCCACCAATACCGCCCAGCACCCGCGCACTAACCCAACAATGAAAATGAGATCACAGAAGACTAGACAGTTGTGTGCCACAGGGAGAGAGTAGGATGGACCAAGGTGCACCAATGCCAAAAGCCCATGAAGTGGCAGGGAAATTATTAAATGAACACATCCCAGCAAGTGAGCCATATCGACACACTGCACCACACAAGGTCTGTGTCAATCTGATGGGCGTTGGGGGACTCCTTCCCAGCCCCACATATGGGTGATCAGTTAGACCCCGAGCACACACGAGCCAGCCAGCCAGACACCTGAGAGAGAGAATGACTGGTGCCATCTCAGAGTCCTGACCCACCCCATCCAATGTCTGGTCTGCAGCAGGGGCCATCCCTGATGCTTCAGAGGAATGACAAAAACAACCAACCAAACCCACCACAACACCCCATCCCCAACCTCAGAATCCACTGAGGGGAGGGCAGGAATCCCTTCCTCACTCACCCCTGCAGCTGGCCAGCTGAAACCCTGAAGCATGAGCTTTAGGAACATAAAATTATAAACTGGAAGAGAGCCCCAGGGCTGCTGAGTCCTGCCCCCACCATCACAACCAGCCCCATAATACAATTGCACTCAAATTTGTCCAGCTCTGTCTTAAAAAACTAAGTTGTTGGCCCCACACCGCCTATTGGGAGGCTGTTCCAAAACCTCACTCTTCTGATGGTTAGAAATCTTCTTTTAATTTCCAGCCTGAATTTCTTCATGGCCAGTTTATACCCATTTGTTCTCGTGCCAACACTGTCCTTTAGCTTAAATAGCTCTTAACCCTCAATGGTGTTTACCCCCGAATATATTTATAGAGAGCAGTCATATCCCCTATCAGCCTTCTTTTTGCTAGGCTAAACAAGCCAAGCTCTTCCATTCTCCTTTCATAAGACAGGCCCACCATTCCCCTGATCATCCTAGTAGCTCTTCTCTGCCCCTGTTCCAGTTTGAATTTAGTTTTGTTGATCATGTGTGATAAGAACTGTACACGGTATTCCAAATAAGGTCTTACCAGTGCCTTGTATAATGGCATAAATACCTCTCTCTCTCTCTCACTACTAGAGATGCCTCATCTAATACATCCTAGGATTGCATTTGCTTCTTTCACAGTTACATCACTTTGGTGGCTCAGTCATCCTGTGATTGACTTCACCACACCCAGGTCAGTCTCATTCTCTGTCATTTCCCACTGATTAACCTCCAGCTTTTTGTAGCAGAAATTCTTATCGTCAGACTTTAAGTGCATGATCTTGCACCTTGTGCAATTGAATTTTATCCCATTTCTGTCGCTCCAGTCTTCAGGGTCATCCAGATCTTCCTCTATAATATTCCAATGCTTTCCAACATTGTATCATCATTAGCATACTCCTACTTTTTGTGCCAAGGTCATTAATAAAAATATTAAGAGTGATCCCAAGGCAATCCTTCAGGAATTTCACTAGTAACCTACCCCCAGTCTGATATTTCACCTTTCAGAAAAACCTGTTGTCTTATCCCCTTTAACCAGTTCCTTATTCACCTTACAATTCTTGTACTAATCCATATCCACTATTAATATTTTTCCACATGGTACCATGTAAAATTCTTTACGAGGCAAGAGGATGTGGGGGAGGGAATGCTCCAAATATAATGGTTTGACTGATAACAAAAAAAAGTCCAAATACAGGAAACACAAACAAAAATACATAGATAATATGAAGTGTAGGCACAGAAAATAGAAAATTCTACAAGTATCTTGTGTGTATTTTATGCTTCTGAGCCACCGTATTTAATTTAGCTTCAGAAGAACAAATGAATAAGATGAAGTCTCAGAATGAAAGACCCATAACTTACAGTTAGCCATAGAATATCCAATTTGTCCAATGACTAATAAAAAGGTACAAGCTAAGGAAGAAATTAGATTAAACTGAACACTCGTTCTATTTATAAGCATACTAACAGTTAGATCAACCTGAAAAATTCATTGCACTTAGAAATTCATGGTAGTAAATTATTAATCGGCTTCCCTCTGAGTAATTTTTACTGCCAAAGAACTTGATGGAAATGAAATCCACCAAATGGCTGTGCTTAAGGCAAGAATAAACAGAGATGAGGATCAACTGACATACTTACACTTCGTAGTAATATTTATATTTTTGAT